GCAACATGCGTCTGCACCGGCACGCGCGTGCACGCAGCCACCTCGGCATTAGTGGTGGTGTATGTGGGAGTGTGTGGGATAACTCCGGGTGGTGGTGAGCCAGCCACTTAGCCATGTCCCTCAGGGAGGGCGCTGGTGCAGGGGGGGGTGATCGCCCGATCAGCAGGGGCCTGGCGAGAAGTGGCCGAGGAGGAGGGTGGAGTGGAGGGGGTGGACGTCGCACCCCGCCTGCTCACAGGGAGCGGGGAGGTGGGCATCAGCCCCCACACTATCTTATGCTATTTTGCGAAGGGTTGCTTACATCTAGGTCTAATGATGTAGATGTAGATGCTCACCCCAAGCCCTCATTACTTTGATAGTGCAGTCTTTGAGCTGTACGCCTTTTGGCGTCCTCTGGTCGAGCACCAATTGGGTCGAGACTCAAAAGAAAGCCGTCCCTTGGTGTAGACCAATCAGTTTCAAATACAATGCATATATTATCGTGTTTTTTGTATGCATTTGACTGCAAATATTATCATTAATGCAGACATAAATCCTTGTAAAAAGGTTTCAGTTTTGTTACCAGAAAAAAGGGGAAAACCCCTATTATTATATTTTGGTACTGGCAAAGGATGTCTAATGATGAAGCCCTCTGATGTTGACATGTAGAACACCAACACCTTTTCTGCCAGAAAAATCTACGGAAATTAGTTATTTACATTTGGGCCAGGGTGAAGCTCAATACCTCCCATAAATAAGAAAAGTAGAATTAATAGTTTGCACAAGTATTTTCTGTGAAAGGATGAAGAGCAACGAACCTTGGACGAAGAGCAGCTGCTTGCATATGGCGACATTTTTAAGAGCAGAATGAAGTTAGGAAGGAGTGATGGTGAAGTAATAGGACAGAGAAAGGGTTTAAAAGGATACAATGATAGCGTGTAGAAGTGGCTATAAGCTGTTTCACTAGCAGATGTAGTGGCAAATTGAGCATCAAGTATGGACGAGAAATAACGAGGGCTGCCAGTGGTGGAGTTGTGTTTGGCACTAGATATGGCCGGGAGGGACAGCAGTAGAATACACAGCAGAACTGCCATCTTTAAAATAACAAAGATCCACAACAGTTAAACACACAAGTGAAAACGTACAGGTAGGCCGAGCGTGAGTAATGTCTTGCCACACTCGTCGCACATGTACGGCTTCTCGCCCGTGTGCTTGAGTTTGTGGTGGCGGTCAGCTCCAGGTCACAAAGTTGACTAGTCATTCAAGTTATTGCTTTTTGTAAGCACACCTTTGTGCGTTGCTATTTCTCTACGCTAGCGTGCATGTGACCTAACACTTAACTTTTTTCTCTCAATGAGCATCTTCGCGAACAGGGAAATAACCTGATCAAGCAGGTGAAGGGTAAAAACCTCAAGGAGCGGGTCAAGACGGTCGAGGGCTTCCTGCAGAAGCTTCGGCTCATTGCTAACGGAGAGCGTTTCTGAGCAAACCAGGCAGCAGTTAAGGCAGACCCAAGGAGCAGCAGCTCAGGCAGGCCCAGGAAGCAGCAGCTCAGGCAGACCCGGGGAACATCAGCTCGGGTAGACCCGGGGAGCAGCAGCTCAGGTAGACCCATGGAGCAGCTCAGGCAGACCCATGGAGCAGCTCAGGCAGCCACGGGGAGCAGCAGCTCAGGCAGGCCCAAGAAGCAGCAGTTCAGGCAGACCCGGGGAGCAGCAGCTCAGACGTATACTGCGGTATGGGATTGCTATTCGTATGAATGACGCTCTATAAAAAATACTGCATGTGATAGCCACAGATCTTATGAGCTGTTATTGAAGAGGCATAATGTCTTGTTCCTTCATATCCAAGTTGAGTGTAATCATGTTACCTTGTTGGTTTACCCCATGAAGGCCGAGAACATATTATGTGCTATACGCCAACACAGTAGGGATTTTAGGAAGATCTCATCAGGCTTTCAAAAGCTTAACTCTCGTGGCGGCATGAGCCGGCAGTTGCAGGACTGCACCTTTACTTCTGCAACGTTTATGAACAGCTATAACCATGATAACATCACAGATAATTAATCCCCAAATTACATTTAACAAAATAGCTTATAGATTAAGGGGTGACTATAATCTGCAATTTATGGATCTCAGTAAAAATTGTTAAGTTATTAAACACCTTCTATGAGTAAACACATTTAAAGTTTATACATTTAGGCCTACTAATCTGGTACTAGGCGAAGCCTGCGGCAAGATAATTGATCCTCAATTAGTTTTTAAAATACTTATAGATTAAGAGGTGACCTCTGTAAAATTGTTAAGTTATTAAATACCTTAGACGGGGAACTAAATTAAAGTTAAAATACTTAGGCCTGAGGCCTACTAATCTGTTATTGGACGAAGTCTGCGGCGTGAGAATTAATCCTCAAATTAGTTTAAAATGCACTAACAGATTTAGGGGTGACTGAAGATCTGCCATCTAACGATCTCTGTAATTGTTAAATTAAACACCTTAGTTAAATTAAAGTTTAAACCGTTATGCCAAGGCTTGATGCCTACTAACCTGTTTCTAAGGCAAAGCCCGACTGCTCAATTACGTTTAATTACTTATAGATTAAGAATGTTCCATGAGAACATTTATTGATTACCGGAGTGTTGATGATGGGTGATGGTGTTGGTGATGAATGGTAATCATGATGGGTGGTGAAGATAGATTGTGATGATGATGATGGGTGTACGTGCACGCGGGAGCACACAAACCTGCCTGTTCAGACTGAGACGAACTGGAACCGATTAATTAAACCCCCCTGAACCTGCCAATCTCAATTTAAACACACACACAGCTCACTCGCTCACACGCAGCTCATTATCATTCTCACTCATTCTCACGCACAGCTCAACTCACACAGATTACTCACACGCCGCCATCTTTGTGATGATCGATGCATGAGACTGGTGATGGAATGTAAGCCAGTTCATGTGCAGGATTGGCGTGGATTGTTGCAACTCAGGTCAATGACGGATGGTGGAGGCCTTCACTGCTGATGGCGAACACTGAACGTCAGATGGTAATGGTGACACTGAGAATAAATCATTTGGTTAAGCTCGCATCTCCGATTTCCACGGTTCACTACTTACAGTGTGAAATAAGTTCAACATAGATACCCAATTGGTCCTTGTAGGGTATGTCAACTGAGTAACAAAGGGTTAGACCTAATTCCAGATTGTGGTTGTGACCATGAGGCTGTGGCCATTTGAGGAGTGGTCCTGTGAGGATGGATATTGACTCTGTAAAAGCTGTGGGATCTGGCAGGAGGCAATGTGGTGACGTGATGTGGCATCACTGGCAAAGGCCATGGTGTTCCTGAACTTGTATATTTCATCAAAGTAGTTTGAGTCACAGGATGGCACATGGAGGGTCATGCAAGGGTGACCGAGTGGGATGAAAGGTCGTGATGTTTTTTTTAACCAAAATATCAGCAAGAAACCTGGGCTGGTGGTAACGCCACACTCGATTAGTTTATTACCTTGTAATGTGAGATCCACGATGTATGAATGAGGTCCCTTATCAGTGAATTCATTTATTGGCCACACTAGTGACTGCAATTATGTTTATCTACTCCCAGCCACACCCACAAGCTATACAAACACAATTAAGACAAACTTACACATGCTAGGAACTTGGTGGAGTGGTGGTAAAAGGCATTTATTTTAAGGCTGAGTCGACCTAGCGGGATGGGGGGGGGACCAGGGCCAGTTGAGATAACCGCCATTGTGATGATTGTGAGTGGGAATCGAGCTCAGGAAACCAGGCTCAATAGGAGTGGGGACAAAGACATGAACACCCAGAGAGGGAGGCCATTTTCACACTTAAAACACACGCGCTACAGACACACAAACACACACCACATCTAGGGGCCAACATTTCTGAGTCGATAGACAATCACGAGGGTAATTCAGTGGGTCTGTGTTCAAACAAATCTTGGGGTGACCTCCCAAACGAGGAAGTACAGCAGAGTTTATGACATCAGGCACCGGGTTGTCTGCAGAGCTCGAGCCAGGGTTGAACTCAGGATGATGAGTGGCGTGACAGTGAAAGGAGTTTTTGGCTCTGACATGACCAAGGGAATTAATTAAATAAGCTAGACATATCTTAGCTACATGGCGAGCCGACATCCCCCCAAACAGGACCCCAGACGCTCCCAGTGACGTCACCATCCCTAACCCAGCACACATTATCCTGGCCCCGCACATCTAACGGTTACATAATGACCCCCTCCCCTTCATAAAGTTAATCTAATAATTGCTGTTTGTGTAAAGTAGAGCCAGCACGAGGTGGGGGGGGGGTCCGTTCATTCTATTCCCCGAGTCCACGCTTGCCCACAGCCATCTCCAAATCTGTTCCCCTCCAGAATGCCCCGAGCCCCCCCCCCGATGCCCCACTCCTCTATTTCCTCGCCAGCTCCTCCCCCTACCACTGTTCCCGCTCCACTGCCCCTCTCCTTTTGGCCAGAATCCTCTCCATGTCCAAGTATTGTGGTTAATGCAGACATGAATCCTTGTGGAAAGGTTTCAGTTTTGTTGCCAGGAAAAAGGGGAAAAACCCTATGATTGTCTTATGGTTGTTATTGTTTGACTTGCATCATATTGGGATTTTTGCACACAGCGTTGTAATAGTGTTTTTTTTTCTGGAAGATTTGCTGTTTTTTCCAGGATGTTTCTGTTGCGCGTCGTCGCTTTAAGATGTTCTCTGTTCATATTTTGTTTGTTGCGGTTGCACCCGACTCAAGAGCCGCATGGCTCACAGGGCTACACCTAATAAATGAAACTTGAAAATGAAAACTTGAAACTAACCCACTGTCCATCTCCATTCCTAGCCCTGACATCCCTTACATGTGCGCAACCCAAAAACCCGTTCGCGATTCCAATTCACGGTCAAACTCCGCGAGCACGCCCGTCGTCTTTGCGTGGCGAGACAAACAACACGGCATCACTAACGCTTCAAAAAAAGCTTTGCCATATCAGTTTCGTATCCGATTGTGGGCACGTTATATTATATTTATTAGAGGCCCCATGGCACAGCAAAATCTTAACAGTTGCTGTTACGCAATTGACCCTCTCCTACTGAACACCGCGATTGAACCACTCTACATTCACAAAAGATAGCCGCAAGTACCTGGGCAACGCCGGGTATTTCCTGATAGTAATTGATAAAGCGAGAATTAGAAAATGTTGAAGGCGAGAATCATTGATATTATCACGATTGTTAATACAAATCCCTTGACAACGTGAAAGACAATAATAACTCCTGATTAGTGCAAGAATCTATAAATGCATCGTTCACTGAATTCACTAAATTATCTTGAATTCATGTCGGAATAATTAATCTTGATGATAATCGCTCCTAATAATTGACAATAATTCAATAAATATTAATTTAATATTGCAATTAACATTTACACATTTGTCATTAATAATAAAATAAACATAAATACCACCCAATATTTTCCAACTATTTGTAGTTGGGGGACTGGAAGGCGCTGTAGGTGGTGAAGTGAAGTATGCAGTGGTATTGGAGAAGGTGGTGGAGTTAAGTAGGTGGTGGAGGTGAAAGTGGTGTAGGCGATGTAAATAACGTGGTGTAATTGGTGGAGTAGGTGGTGGAAGTGGTTGTTGTTTATGGAGGAGCACGTGGTGTACGTGATGAAGCGAGCAGGTGGTGGAGAAGGTGGTGTACGTAGCGGGCATCCACATCGATGAACAGAGCTTCAGGCGACGAGCAGAGCGGTCCCCATCAGATGCAGGAGGAGCACCGGCAGAAGTGTGGTGAGAGCGCCACTCATCCCGGGAGCACTTCCCTTCGTCGTGGAGGTGGTTGGGTTGGTGGAGGTGGTTGTGTTGGTAGAGGTGGTTGTGTTGGTAGAGGTGGTTGTGTTGGTAGAGGTGTTTGTGTTGGTGGAGGTGGTTGTGTTGGTGGAGGTGGTTGTGTTGGTAGAGGTGGTTGTGTTGGTGGAGGTGGTGGGTGTGCTGCAAGGTTGAGCTGTGGGGTCCGCGGGGAGCTTGGGGATCATTTCGATGGAGAAAATGGGGAAAAACTGCATGTGCACACACAAACACAGCAGCAGGGATGGAAAATCGAGCAAAGGATGAGCGACGTGCCATGCCGTAAACATTTATTGATGGGAGTGGTGTTGGTATGAGTGGTGCGAGACGGATGGTCGGACTGGTGAAACAACGTGAAGCAATGCGGATGAGGTATACAATTTGAGTGATGGAGTAGTTCGTAAAATGGATGTAATGGTGAATAGTTTGGTGCTGAATGGAAGAGTGATGGATTGGTGACGAGAAGCTGGAGTGCATAGTTGAGCGGCGGGGTGGAATCGATAATCAGCTGTGTCACGTTTTCAGGGGTTGAGCCGTGAAAACTAGGAAGAATGCACGGACCGTGCAACACTCTTCCACATGCATTTATCCTGAAAACCATTTCATTGGTGATGACGTTTCGTTTCAAGCCGCACAGTGGGATAACGTCACAAAGTGTTAGGAGCGTGACGTCGCGATGATAATTTCACGTGTAGTGACGCCATCGGGGAGTGGGAGCAGATACAAAATGTAGCCATTAGGAGGAGGTGTTGGGGAAGAGCGGGCTTGGGGAGGGGTAGGAAATGGGGGCAACTCGTGTTCCACTTTGTTTGATACGGAATTATATTTATTTATACTGCAATTCAATGAGCTATAAAGCTCTTTTTCACATATGAACCTTATGGCGGGACCCCGGGGTTCCATAAGCCACCGGCTCTCGCATAAACTGCATTGCCGACGTAATTTTATCTGTTGAAGGTGAACGGTACGGCGATCTATTCCTCTCGAAGAGCTCTACACGATGCATTAATCAAAGTTGTGTTTCTTTTGGGCATTCGTCCTCGCTGCGCTTGGACGACATGACAACAGAATGATCCGCGCCAGGTCGGTCGCGGCGTTTATGTGCACGGTGGGACGGAGTCGCCAAAAATCTATTAATTACGATTTTGACTTCCGTTTATTCAGGACCCCGGGGTACCGCCATAAGGTTCATTTGTCCAGATGGTGGTGGTGGTAAACTTGTCCACTCATCTCAACTAGCCACGGAAGGAGACGAGAACACAGAGCAGAACATTTGTCGTCCTCAAATGCTTTTTTTTTAGCCGGCCCCAGTGGGGGAGGGGGACAGGAGGGGGCCAGATACACATTTCCGTTCCCACACACAAAATGCAGCAATGTAACGACAGTTTAAACCAGTGGTTTCTTAACCCGGGGCGCAAGCACCACCTGGGAGGTGTCAGATGCCCTTTTCTGTGGGTGCGAGAAATGGCCATCAAAAACACAAATTGAGCACTTAAGTTTATCAAACCCAATGTATTTATTAACATTCTAAAATGTTTTTTTTTACGATTGAGAACCAAAGGGGATGCAAGGCTGCAGTAAAAGTTTAAGAACCACTGGTCGAGACGCTCACGCCCCCTCCCACACCCCCAGTGTTCTCACCCCCGACCCATACTCACGTCGTTTCCGGAGAAGACGTACTGCGTTGCGTTACGAGCGGCACTCTCCACTTGGCGAATCATCTGCTCGGTCCAGGGGATGACGTCATAGATGTCATATAAATACTTTCCGAAGGACGCTGGTGGGCTGGTGATGATAAAATTATTTTGCCTGTGCAAAGTTTTGGTCAAGGAGAGAGGTGCCCAATGAGGCATGTTAGGCTGTGATTCGTTTGTAATCGTCTTACATCTTTATGCAAGTGTAGTCTTCGCGTGTCTTTTTTTTGGAAAAGGTAAGAAAATATATCAACTGTCTGTCCATATTGCCTCCTCAGCCATGAGCCGAAATTGTCATATTAACGCTTAAGACTCCCCCAGAACCACATTAACAACCATGGTTTATGGTTGGGAGGGAATGATGCGATTTTCGCTGGCCGTGTTTTTTTAATCACCGGGATCGTACTTTAAGTTGTCATCTCTTCAGTTTTCCTCTAGGGATGGGAGAGATAAATACATCTTTCCCAAACTTGACAACTTGGCGACCCGAGTCTCATTTCCTATCCGTGGTTCACATCAGTGGCGTATATGTAACCTGGTCTTGGGCCTCTCCTGTGTCATCTCAGCCTGAAACGAATACTTGGTGAGGTGCGTAATTAGTACTGGGGAGACAAATGAGGCCGCGTGATCCTGGCCACACCCCACTCTCGCCCCGTGCGGTGTATGTGCATATCGTAATCGCACCATTAAAGCAACAACGGCTATCATGAAGGCACCACAGTTATGCCCCGAAAGATGCGCGAGACATTTCCCGTCGCTGAGTCTGCTACCACGAGAACTGGCTGGCGGTGAAAAAAAATGTCGTGGACAGTGACCAGGTAATGAGTTCCACGTCAAAGGGCCGGACATCGCCAAAGTGAGACAACCAGGTCGGTGAGCGGGTGGGTGGGTGGCCGAGCCTTATGGGCAAACACAATCTTACGGGGTCCGTGCACCAGATGTTTCTTTCGGTGCGTGGGACGATCGGGTTACGGTGTGCTGCCGACCACAGTTGACGGCCATTGGCACAGGCATAGACTGGGTACCACGTTGCGTCTCGGCTAGATTGGGCAGTGCGTATTGGTGCAAACACTGGAGCAGTACTCCATAGATGGGGCACGCACAGCTTGTTGTCTCAATCTGGCTGGCCGGACTGTCAGCCGGTGCAGCGCGTCATGAAGTGTCACTGGGATGTGATCTGTGTCTTTGCGGTGGACTGCAGTACTGTGTCCGGCGTTAACAGACGCTCATAAACAACACTTTCTGGGCTATTACGTGAATACGGTCTGTTCTATAATTCGTAGTTTTACATCACACGAATTGGATATAATGGGATTAATGTATTAATGAACACATCTTTTTATAGCACAGATGCGTTGGATGTAACGCGATCGAGTGAACAGAACTACGTCGCGCGAGTAGGAATAAGCGGTTGTATGGCTGCCTTGGCGTAGCATCACGCAAGGCGGGATGGCTGCTGGATGCTTCTCGACTGCTACCCACACGCCTCAGTCTTTGTTCAGCCTGGGTACGCATCTCACGTGTTTTCGCGGACTGTGCTCTACCACATTATTTATTATAACGCGATTTTTCCATAAAGCGGTGTTCTTCAGGAATGCATTATAGGACAGACTGTACTTTGTTTTTTCAAGTGCGGGTGTGTTTCTGTGTGTGTGTTTGCACTCACGGATTCAAAGTGAATCCCATCACTGGAGCTACAGCAGCTATGTCGTACATGCTGCGACAAAGTCCAATGTTCACTTTGGGGTAGTAGAATAAAAAGGAGAGGCACATTTCATTCATCGTCCTCAGTCCACCCTGTGACGGGAGGGGCAAGGAGAGAGATGTTGAGTGGAGGAACAATACATTACAATTTGCATTAATAAAGCGTCTCAATGCGAGCACATCTCCGCATATAATTGGTCGCGTTAAGGCGCCGTGGTGGCGAGATGTTAACTACCTCGCCTGGTTTGCAGGAGATCGTGGGTACGATCCCGACCCTGACGCCTGTATATTTGGAGTTGCATGCCTGCCCGTGTTCGTGTGGATTATCCCTCCATATTTAGAAACATGTATTCAGACTATTTGGCTGCTATAAATATACACATGATACACCTGGTAAAATAGAAGTTTAGTTTTCTATGAGTCATGAGATTTGTTTTTAAAGGCGGATTGTGAGGTTAGGGACTGGGGTAAGGAGGTGATGGTGACGATAATGTTGATGTTTTTCAAAAGAAAGGAGTATAACCTGGTTTTGTCAGCAAATTCATCCGTCTGCTTTTTCAAGTGGATAAACGTAAAAATGCACGGATTATTGCATATAATGGGATCTGCCAAAAGCACCTCCCCATATGAGTGTGGATAAAAGGCATTGCCCTAACAAGGAACCAATGATTAAGATTGCGTTCCAGGGTGAAGGAAAACGCACGCTTGGGGAAAACATATTTGGGGGGGGGGGAACATGCTGACACCAGCACTGCTGATATTCTGGTTTTAACCCGAGGGAACCATAAATAAATTATAAAACATTGAGTGTTCAAGTTTACCAAGTTGATCTCAATTTGATTGCTGAACAATGCAATGACAATAACGTTTGTTTTTCACTTTAATCAGGAGTATATTTTAGGCATCTAAGGATTAAACATTGTGGGTTTATTGCCATGTGGCAAACACTCTTTGCAGGGCATATAAAAGTGTGCCACATTATTAGTATGAAAGACGTAGTGGAGGAATCTGTTAAAGTAGTTCTGTGCATCATCTTCTCGGGCCATTCTCTGATGCGAGGTGGTGCACTGCTCACTGGAAGGATAAGGATGTCGATTTGGTATAGGGTGCTTAAAATGCCATGGCATCTTAAATCACCTTTTTAGTGAACAAAAAAACATAGAGAGACGAACCGACCTATAACTTGTGAAAGTTTGTGACCGGTTTTAAATAAATTGTTGGTAATGTCATCCCTGAAGGTCGTTTACAAAACGTTCGATGTGCCCATGCTCAACTGCATTTTACAACCTTTGCTACATTTAAATTCTGGACTACAGCCACCCCATGCTATCAGGCATGGAGGTTGTTTGACCATACTTCACCACACTGGTCATTGTAGCGTTGTCAAGAGGGGACCCTAGGACCGGTTTAGACACCACTCGACTGTGGAACGTGGACTCTAGGAGGAAGGAATGAGCAGTTGAACACGGGCAGCTGATACGCGATTTCCTCTTAAGCTTGGTGAGAATGAACTGTCGAGGATAGGATGATTAACAGTCTTATGGCGGACATAGATGTTAAGAGGATAACCTTGAAAGGATAAAAGAGCTCACCAAGATTCGACGGGTGCAGTGACACGAGGCGGATGGAGAAAAGCAATTGAACCGAGATGCTTCTTTGAGTTGTGGAGGAGAGAAGACCAAAAAGGCAGGGCAAAGAAAAGAGTAGAACTAAAAGTACTGGAGAGCGTTGGAGAAAGAGAGACAATGGGAAGGCATGGAAAGGTGTCTCACAACCAGCCCAGGAAATGCCTGGACACAGAGACGATGACGATTTTTTTTTACATTTGCGTCGTATTCTTGGATGTTGGTGTAGCTGTACGAATCTGCAATGGGTCTCTGTGGTGGTGTCTACCGCTTCAGTTGAAATATTACTGTTCATTGTTTCAATTTTATTTTGCAGTATTTTATTTACTTTTATTCTGAAATAAAGGGCTGACTATAATTCTACATCTTTGTGAAGCATCGTGAGAGGTAGATGCTAAGTATATTAAAATTGTTATTCTATGAAGATTTCATGTTGTTGGTCACAGCGAGTTTCATCCGAGTGTTCATGCCAGTAACGTACAGTGGTGGTCACATTGCGGGTTGTGGTCCTGTAGGTGCACTCCGTGACCACCTGGTCTCCCTGAATCATCGCACAGACAGCACAGTTGAGATGTCAAAACACAATCAGAATCTTTGTTTAGACTGGAGGAGGTGGAATCCGAAGAGTGATGAAGCTCTTTTTCACAGGTGTCCAAGTCGGGGGCGAGGGTCAGCAAGTTACAACAACAAACAATACAAGAAACGATGGGAGTGCAAAATAGAGAAAAGTTAAGCAGGTTACTAAAAGTACAAATGACATAACCACATAATTTCCTGCCGATTTTTCAGCGCTAAATTGCAAGCTTGGGGCAAGGTGAGAAAATAGCAGCACAGCAAGCGATAACCCTGTCATCATCGCACGTGAGAGGCTGTCGTGGAGAATGTGAATTAATCGGAGGGTCTTTCTATTGTCCACTACATTTAATGGATAACAATACATGTGTAACGGGTTCCGGAGACACTTGTAGAGGTAACTTCTTTATTACAATATAACACTCCAACAGTCCAACTCTCAAACAGTCCTGATACTCTGTTACAGCCTAGGTACACAGCCTAGCTACACAGCCTAGATACTCTACTCTGGCTATGCTTCGGAACTCGCCCTCACAAGGTCGTAGAGTCGGGAGTTCCAGAGTCCCAGAGCTGGCTCTCACAGCATCCCAGGGTCTTCAGATGGCTGGTCGTGGGTCTTGGGTCTTGAGTTACAACTGGGCCCCGATCGTCCAGGGAGCTCTCCTTTTATGCCTGGTCCAACGAGGGGTGGGGCCGTGTGCGCCACCAGACATCTCACAGAGCACACACAGCGCCCCCCCCCCCCCCGTTGGCGGCGCCCAGAGGCTTAAGCGTCTGGACCCCCTGGGAACCCAACACCTGGCGCCCAGAGGCTTAAGCGTCTAGACCCCCTGGGAACCCAGCGCCTGGCGCCCAGAGGCTTAAGCGTCTGGACCCGCCCGGGAACCCAGAGCCCCCAGCAGCCCCTCCCTTCTTATGTCACTACATTACCCCCCTCTACGTAGCCTCCAGCCATCCCGGCTGTCAATAATTAGAAAGTTTAAATTAACCAAAGGGAGAGAGAGAAAAAAAAATACGCGAGCCTCAACAGGAAACGAAAAGAGATCAAGAAAGCAACCATAAATACCATAACCAACCTGTACAACTCTACACTATATACAAGCATCAATCACCAAAAAGGTGAAGCAATGACACGTGAACAAACGCACCCGCGGCACACCTAGCCCTCCTCAGGATCCGCATAGAAAACGGGGAATTAACAATAACAAATATACAGATTCCGACGCGTTGGATGCACAACCAACACCGGTAATCGAACCGAAATCACACAACCACCGCATGGATGGCAGGGATCCACACCACTCTGCCAGCCTCCCATCCGTCAGGTGGAGAGAAGGCGAAGACCAACATGTCGAGCATCCCTCTACACACACTTATCCGGACGTCTGTCTACGTCCCGGGTCGAGAAGTCGTACTTCAGGGCCGACCCATGTACTGGGCAAAGAAGTCGCACTTCAGGGCTGCTCCAGTATCTACATTTTTAAATATATATATAAAATTTACATGACACAACCAAAATAAATCTGCCTGCTCCTGTCCATAAATGGTGGCCGCACACGCGAACTGCATCTCCAAGGCATCCCGTGCTTGTGTCCCAGCAGCCCTCAATGAGGACCACCACCGACATTACACGTCAACCGTTTGCACCCCCCACCTTTCCAACGTGGCGTCTCCATCCTAAAACCCCGCACGTCGGCCATATCGGGGGGGACTTCAACCCAGTCTCTCTCCAAGACTCGCATCGCAGCATATAGCTGTACCGACCGATCTGAGACCCAATCTCTCTCCAAGATTCACATCGCAGCATATAGCTGTACCGACCGATCTGAGACCCAACCGCTCTCCAAGACTCGCATCGCAGCATATAGCTGTACCGACCGATCTGAGACCAAACCTCTCTCCAAGACTCACATCGCAGCATATAGCTGTACCGACCGATCTGAGACCCAACTGCTCTCCAAGACTCGCATCGCAGCATATAGCTGTACCGACCGATCTGAGACCCAACCTCTCTCCAAGACTCGCATCGCAGCATATAGCTGTACTGACCGATCTGAGACAACCCATTGTTCACTCCCTGCACAACATGCACCCTAACAACTGAGGGATACAGTCCCAACTTAACGGGACAACTACACCTGAACACCACAAATCTCGAGCCCACTGTTTCAACGCGCCTCAGAGTGTTTCAATCTCCGGGCCGTCAGGGTGAGCCTACTGCTCCAGACGTACCATGGAGGGTCTCAACCTCCGGGCCGTCAGGTCAAGCCGTCAGCTATTCCATGACGGGACCACACTCTCCGAGCCCTGTGAGCGCACAGCCCACTAGGCTAGACATGCCACGGAGTGTTTCAATCTCCGGGCTGTCAGGTCAAGCCGTCAGCCATAGCATGACGGGACCACACTCTCCGAGCCATGTGAGCACACAGCCCACTAGGCTAGACATGCTACGGAGTGTCTCTATCTCCGGGCTGTCAGGTCAAGCCGTCAGCCATAGCATGAGGGGACCACAACTCTCGTGTTAGACACGCAACACCCGCTGGGCCATTGTCACCATCGGAAGATAAATGCCCCATACAGTATATACATCGTTAACAATGACAGCACAAGCTATACATTAACAATCACGAACAAAGCTCAATACAAACCATACATTGTTAACAATCACAAGCAACGTTTCGCACACACATTGACAACACTCACGGGCGAAGCTCCACACAGTTTACCCAACAACAGTCACGACTCCCCGACGACAACGAAGAAAATGTCAACAAAAAAATCATTAATCCGGAGCGCGTAAATGTACGAAATGTCAGGGGCCTGGTCTCCCGACCTCCAACCTTTGGCCAGAGCAGCAAAGGCGGCGACCAGCGTGTCTGTCCATGTGCCAGCCCCGGCGCTGGTTACAGTAAGAATGGCGCCCTCACTGTCCGGTCGCAGCGCTGATGACGCGGTATGCTAGGTTGAAGCCAGCTGTCGTCCGGCAGTGAAGGTCGCAGCGCTGATGACGCGGCGTTGCTAGGTTGCAAACAGCTGTCACCCGGCATTGAGGGACGCAGCGCTGATGATGCGGCGTCTCCGGGTTGGTCCACGCTGGGCCCGGAAGTGACGTCGCTCTCAGCGGTCACTGCTCCTCCGGTGGAAGTGATGTCATTCCCGGAAGTATCCCTCGCATCCGTGGGGGGGACGCCGGTGGCGGGAATGGCGGCGGTGTCCGCCATGTTTGTGGCGGCGGCGGGCTCGAGCGAGCGCCGCGCCTCCTCTCTCCCTCCCGCCATCGGCCGCGAGCACCGCATCTCGCCCAGGAGGGAGGCGGTGGCGCAGAGCAGCTCTGCGAGGCGAAGCAGCGCCTCCTCCATCTCTGCTCCCGACGCTGGAGAGGGGACGGTCGGCGGAGCAGACAGCTGCTTAGCCGGCGGTGTGGCGTTGTTGTCGGCCGGCGGTGCAGCGTCGCTGTCGGCCAGCGTTGGCCGCCCCATCGCTGCCTGCTCCTCTTCATCGCCGTCAGGACTGAAGGTACGTGGCTTACTTCTTGTCTCCATAGCCACTTCTGACGCCAAATGTAACGGGTTCCGGAGACACTTGTAGAGGTAACTTCTTTATTACAATACAACACTCCAACAGTCCAACTCTCCAACAGTCCTGATACTCTGTTACAGCCTAGGTACACAGCCTAGCTACACAGCCTAGATAATCTACTCTGGCTACGCTCCGGAACTCGCCCTCACAAGGTCGTAGAGTCGGGAGTTCCAGAGTCCCAGCGCTGGCTCTCACAGCATCCCAGGGTCTTCAGATGGCTGGTCGTGGGTCTTGGGTCTTGAGTTACAACTGGGCCCCGATCGTCCAGGGAGCTCTCCTTTTATGCCTGGTCCAACGAGGGGTGGGGCCGTGTGCGCCACCAGACATCCCAGAGAGCACACACAGCGCCCCCCCCCCCCCCCCCCCGTTGGCGGCGCCCAGAGGCTTAAGCGTCTGGACCCCCTGGGAACCCAACGCCTGGCGCCCAGAGGCTTAAGCGTCTGGACCCCCTGGGAACCCAGCGCCTGGCGCCCAGAGGCTTAAGCGTCTGGACCTGCCCGGGAACCCAGAGCCCCCAGCAGCCCCTCCCTTCTTATGTCACTACACATGCACCTAATTTATTCATCAACAGTTCCTGTTCGATGGACTGTGGATTAGTTCTCATCTCCTGTTTACAACCCTGAGCTCTTTGTGAATATTTCACAATCCTCTGGTGGGATTGTGTCTGTCTACAGGACAGCTGTTTGAGTTCCCACAAATGTGTACTTATTTTAACACGCTTTCTTTTAACTCACTCTGTTGTTGTCATTGTATCCTCAAATCTTGTAACTCAATTTTAACCCACTTCCCAATGTGGTATCGACTGCAAACTTGGTATACAGTACTTATGTCATACTGATGACAATACTATATTCTATCATAAAAAATATGTATTTTTAAACATTTTTTATATGTTATGTTTCGGCTTGGGTCTAATTGTCCACGCTCAACTGACGTTGGCTGTAAATCACCACGGTTCAATATGGCAAGCTTCGGGGCCACTTCCTGGAGTCGTGGAGTTATGCCATTACTAGTACATTTCATAAAAGCGTGTTTTAAAAAAAGTTTTTTTAAATATATTACTTATTTTAAATGACCCCTGTTCAGAATTTGAACTCGCAATAATAATATCCCGGTTGCGTGTCAAACTCTCTGGTCACTGTGGTGATCCACTGGATTACGATTTATTTACCCAGGAAGATCTCACCGAGTCTCAAAACTGCTTCTGAAGAGTCCATCTGCATTTAAACATTTGGCCAATTATTTTTTAAGGAGAATTAAACATGTGGAAGAAAACCCATGAGTCTGGAGATGGTTACATTCCAGCATCCGCACGGACAGGTATTGACGCTGTTCTGTCTAAACTATAAGTTGAACTAAAACTAACCTTTTTTTATATCAGCAGGTAAGGCCCACTGAGCTATAAAGCTGTTTTATAGAAGCGACCTGGTCACAAATGATAGCTCAACGAAGTGGCTTATCACGTGGAAATGTATAACAACCAAATACTCTTAAGTGCATGTTGCTAAATGTGGATGGAAAAACGGGAGGACCTGGAGAAAATCCACGCGACCACAGGGAAAAATTTACAGGTGTGACGGTCGGGATCGAACCCACAACCTCCTGTATACCAAGTGAGATACTGTAGTTAAAACCTCACCACCATGGCGCCCTGCTTCGAACAAGCAATACGCTAATAATCTCAGAAAACAATCTCCTTTTCCTAAACGCAGGTTTTGTGCTTTTAAGATGGTGTAACCTAACCTGGAAAGTGGGCCAATATACAGCGTGCTTCAAAAAAATGTTAACACTTTGGAGAATTTGCAACAATACCACAAGAAATGTGCCCCCGGGCTCTGGAGACCACCTGGAGAAGATTCCAGGCATGTATTGACAATGATGGCGAATAAGTGGAGACTCTTTGCTTTTTTGAAGCTATTACGGTACATTTGTTAGCATGTTACAGTGTATTATCCGTTCTTTTTCCATTAAAAACGATAGTCCCATATAAGTGATAACATGTTTTTAAGCACCCTGTGTTGTGGAAAGAACTAACAGCTCGGCAAACAATGTCTCACTGTCACAAATACAGATATCTACCAAATTCCAGAGGGTGTGCCTGATCTGACAAGGCACGAGAGAGAGTGGGAAATGCATGCCATTGATCATTAAACCATTGCGGAAGATGAGCAACCAGTGCGGACACAGCCCCAGGAGTGAGACAGCGCCTAAGCCACACCCAAAGCTGGTAGTTGGATAACAAAATATTCCCCAAGGTGTGTGCATAAACATGCTCATGGCAGCAGGGAAAACCCTTCTTCTGGATGCAAACGCAGCCCATCGAGCCGAGACCGTGAACGTACAACGTGCGGGCATTTGTCAGCACTCACCGGCAGAACGGCCGTCAGATTGTTGAGGTAGCGCGTCTCCTGCAATCCAAAGTCGTAGCTCATGTCACGACCAAGGTTTCCAATCTGGCTGCCGTTCCTTTTTCACGCACGCACACAAATAGACATGCACAAACATCAGCTGCCGTCATTACCACTTGAGTGGTGGTGACGTCATCACAGAGATTGCGCCAGGCGTGTGAAAGGCTTGCGGCTGGCAGGAAGTCACGCGATAGACCCAGGTGTTGACCGACAGATTACTGGCAGATGCACCACCTGTGCCCCGCACTGCCTGCCAACTTGCTGCGTTTTAGCTGCTCGTTGCAAGCATCACTCCTCCACCCCCCGATGCTGGAGGGCAACTGCTTCCAACTGCCCAGGAGCATCCTTCATGAACCTCATTTACAGAAGCTGATCTTGCCACGACTGATACCAGTGTAGTGCTGAACTTTACACGACAGCTTCTTGCTTTTCTCTCTCACTTTATTTCGCTAATACCGATCAACATTCCTTCCGCTAACACCAATCAACATTCCTCCAGCGCGCTCTCCGCTCGCTCGCCGCGTTCCGCCGGCCTCGCTCGCTCGCTCCGCATCTCTCACTCTGCCGACTCTCCTCTCCACTCTCTGTCACAGTTCAGCCGCTCTTTATTGGCTTCTCCGTCACACTCAGCCGTGTCTCTATCGGCTTCTCCGTCACACTCAACCGCTTTCTGATGGCTTCTCCACTGCTGCCTTATACGTCTCCACTGCTACCCTATACTTCTCTAATGCTTCTGGCTCTGCTGCTTCAGCTCCAACATTCTTCTCCTCCCAGGCGCGAACTCCCGTCTGCTTCAAAACCCCCTCTCTTTATCCCCAAGCCAATTAATCTCTAATTAATCAGGTGGCATCCCCCGCGACGCCCCTCGCCCCCGCTGGCACCCGCCACGTGTTCCAGACAACGCGGCGCCACTTGGCGACAATAACAACCTCCCTGCCAATCAGTGCCCTGTGTCTTTAATCGCCCCCTACCACCTGTTACTTTCTCCAGACAGTGTGGTACCCCATTTGACAATAACAACCTTTCTGCCAATCAGCGCCCTGTGTCCTTAATCGCCCCCTACCCGTCTCTGGCCTCCTCCTTACGCCTAACGACAATAACAACCTCGACCTCGTTTGCTCCCACTGTACTCTGCGCGCACGTACACCCACTCCTGCGTGTGGCACGTATTTCAGACACTACACCAGTATATATTATTCTACATGGCCAAATAGCTACCTGGGCATGCGGGTTAGATGACCCAGTAAACGAAGGAGCTCACGATCTTTCTAGCATCTGTGACCTCACACAATCCACCTTAGTTAAACCCTCTCATGCCATACTTTGCACACGCACACAACTACACGTAAGATATGTATAATCAGCTTTCAAGTTCCTCGAGTAGAACGAATTCGTGTGGACTCCCTTTCACATGGACTGCTGGAGCCAGTGCTGTTACTGACACTGGTTACGAAATGGTGAACGAGGGGCTACTTTGGCCTTCACCATGTCTGGCCGTGTTTTATCTCCCCAGTGTTGATGTTATGCCACACCAGGTGCTAATTTAAATCTGCGTTAACTCGGCTAGGCCCAGGGCAGGTTTAGATATCACTACTGATTTTCCAAGGCCAGGAAATAAACCTCCAATGAACATGTTTTTTTTTAATTTGACACAAGCTCGATATGCCAGTGCCGTGCTTTCATGTGCTGTCAAATACAGGAAAGCACGGCAATGCTGCAGCGATTTGTGAACCGCACTGATCAGAAGCCGATCCAAACCTGCCAATTCGATGGCGGATGTGAACAACATCCCGCAAGTTATACGGCTGAGACCCAGAAAATCCGCTTTAGAAACACGCGGCGCAAGACTCAGTGTGACGCGAATTTCAGCATCAAAACGGTTAGGATGCAGTGGGCTTCAAGCAACGTGCCCAAGCAAAGACCTGATCAGCAACTCCACCAACAGACTCCTAGGTTTTGATCTTCCATGGAAATAATCGGCAAGCCTTAATCATGCCAAATGTACAAGTGGAAATTCAAAGACTCTCCTGTGTGCGACTTCAGCTACGAATACTAAACCACGGACCATATAGATCTTCGCACTGACCCAAATGTATTTGCAATTCACCAACTCTCAGGCAAAGCAAGAGAATGGCTAAATCACGGATTAATGACTCATGGATTTTCCCTTCAGCCCAAATTTATTATCTAAAAACAGTTGAACATTGTTATTCTTTGAAATGTGTATTACAAATCACGTTCTTAAACTGAACAAATATGCGCTCCAGTTAATCTGAAATCCCCATGATTGTCTCTGCAGTACAGTAGTTGCATATTTTTCAACAGTGGGCGGAGTTTGATTTTGATTGGCGTTGCTCTGCTGTCATCCACTTAGTGAGCAAAGTCTTCTGCGCATGAGCAGGAAAGTGTTATCACTGATCACGCGCATCAATCGGTGGAATCTTTTCTACAAATTTTTTTGTTCATTGACAAACTAAATTTTTTTAACTTAAACATAATTTACACCTATATTAGTGGTTTTTTGGCATAATATCCGCGGAAAATTGATATTTTTGGATTATCCGCGGCCCTCCCTGTCATTAGCATGGATAATCGAGAGTCTACATTAGTTGCTGTTCAGAGGCCATATGACAGAAGGGGCTAGAGAGGGTTAATCTCCAATTCCTGAATTTCATCAGCACTGAAATGTTTTTTTTTATTATGGCTACGTCTCACTCTATACGGGGGGTTGTGTTCTTGAAAAATGGCGCGTAACTCAAAATCGCGCAAATGATACTTAATTTTCCCTTTAGAAATTAAGAAAATGGACGGAGTTAGGAAGATCACGCTGTCGAACCTCATTCTTCCATCTACATATTTCACTGGTTACAGTACATATTAGATTGACAATACTACCATGTGTTAAAGATAGTAACAGTCTATTTAAAGCAAAAAATGTAATCTTCTTGGTTCTTTCGGTAAAGTCACGTAGAAGGAAAGTAATAAAATAATAAAAATAAAACATAATAAAATAAAATAATTCTCACGACGTTTCGGCTACAACGCAAGCAGCCGTCTTAAGGTGAAGAATGAGACACTACCAAGCTAGGAGCTTATATATAAGCTGCGTTGGAGGTGGAAGAGCTCCTAGCTTGGTAGTGTCTCATTCTTCACCTGAAGACGGCTGCTTGCGTTGTAGCCGAAACGTCGTGAGAATTATTTTATTTTATTATGTTTTATTTTTATTATTTTATTACTTTCCTTCTACGTGACTTTGCCGAAAGAACCAAGAAGATGAATCCCTGCAGTCACGAAAGCTTTAAATCGAAACAAAAAATGTAAGTTAAACGAAAAGATGATTTAGTGTGGCGAACTGGGGCTGGTGGAGGGGAGGAGTGGAGAGTGGTGGGGTCACAGGAGAGAGAGGATCATCTTCATCAGATGACGATGGTGGAGATGACGTCAATCGTGATAGCTTTCCGCTGCTCCTTGGATATGGAGCCATCCTTGAATGTAGCTCGACGTTTACCGGACATATTGGTGGTCGAATGTGTGCACAAGGCAAAGTTCGCGTGGACATGAGAAGGAGATGCTGATGCTGCCCGCACTTGTGGTTGTCGCACTGCACCTCAGGCAGCATCGCTACTGAACTTTGTAGCCTAACGATTGGCTCGCAGCGCGTTTCCGTACATCGTGGCCAACGCACTGGCATGCCTTATTTCAATAATAGTGCGACGATAATACAAATAAAAGTGTAAATTAATCTAACGCGCCACATCAAAATCGCGTAATGCAGACACGCGTAAAAGGCAAGGCGACTGTATAGCCAATAGAACGTCCAACTTTTCACAGAAAAAGGTAAACCATACCATTCACAAGGGCCCCTGGCCTTGTCATCGACTCGGACATACCTGAAGTGCCGCACTTGAATCGCGATTCCGGCCAGGTGGGAATGGAGCAAAGTGGCGAATACGTTCATGGTTCCTGACACTTGCCCCTGAAACACCACACACAACGATCGCTAGTGACCAAGTTTCTTAATTTTATTTTAAGAAAAAAAATGTCGGTTTTTATTGGTAACATCATTAAACAAAAAAAGGCAAACATTTGTTCATGTGTACGCACGTCATAGGACATCTATGGTATTAAGATGACTCCATCTCGGACAAATTATAAATATTATTGAGCTGTTGAGAGAAGATGATTGTACAGAAAGGTCGGGTCAATAACTCCACCCACAGTTGCATCGCACGGTCAACATTTAATTTACTTTGTTACGTTCTTGAGTCAGCTGGTCACGATTGGGCAAAATCTAGCCCACATTTCACCCAGGAAACTGGAGAGCAGCACAGACTGAGTGTTAATAGCCTAACATTAGAACTAACAACAACATATTTACGAATCACGGTTAATAGACAAACAAATATACACGACGAAAAATAAGAATAAAAATAATATTTTTTCAATGGCTTGCCTAAATACTAAGGCCTTCACAGACTGCATTCCACAGGGCGTTGGCAAGATGGCAGATCGGGTTAGACATCGTGTGGCTCTGGGAATTGCATGAGTTGATAAGGTGTAAGAGATTCATATAAGAAACAAAAAATATGTATTAAAAGGAGGGATTGTAAGATTATGAGAATGAAAATACACTAATTGGATATTAGACAAAAAAAAAGAGGGGACCTGAAGTTGGAGCAGCTGGTGCAGGGTGATGACAACACCTGAATTCCCCAAATTATATATTTTCTTATCCGTCCTACATTTAAGCTATGAGTAAAAATGGTATTGGGCAGTGGAGAGACGTGATGGAGAGGTGGGTCAAATGCAAATGTCAGGCAGGAAGGACTCTTGTTGTGCATTTGCTATACAAGGGCACTTCCGATTGTTTATACGTATGGAAGTGTCACAGAGGTGAGTCTGTGGGTCGCTATTGTCACTGTTTAAAAATATTTGTGAGTCTCTGGATTTCTATGCATACCTGTCAACCTATACGGTTTATATTCTTTGGATCTTTCGGTAAGGTCTCGTAGATAGCAAATAATAGCAGTCCAAGTGTGTCAGCTGCATGGGCGGGACAGCCAATGCTTAGAGTCGCGGCATCTCTTCAGAAATGCGAGTGACTCGATCAGATGAGCTTTCTTGTCTTGGAGTTTGTTAAAAGATCTTATGGTTATGTGGTAAGCATTGGCTGCCCCGCCCATGCTGCTGACACACTTGGACTGCGCCGCTCAGCGGGGGCTACACGGCTTTTGTGCCCCACCCACTCACAGCGAGCGCTTGTGTTGCGAAACCTCGTGAGTTTTAGTTTTTTTATTATAATTTTTAAATTATTTTATTTGACTTTTCTATCTACGTGACTTTACTGAAAGAACCAAAGAATATGAATTCCTGCAGTAACGAAAGTTTTAAGTCAAAATCTACACGGTTTACCTACATTTTTATACAGGGAATTTCAGTTTTAAGGTCCATATGGCGTACAGCCGTTTCAATACGGGCAACACATTTTTTTGCCCATTTGTTTGTGTTTCTCCCTTGTGATGGGACTTTCTAGGATGAACGTTGAGATTTAGAAAGTCACGGGGTAACAAATAAAGTCTGAACTGGTCTGTAATAAGTAAGATAAGGGGTTGACATGTATGTGTATGCATGGTAACACTGGCTTCTCAGTCCTATCAGAGCTGCACGCCACAGCGGCCTGGGGTGCCCAGTTAACATGCATTGGTGGGCTAACGGTCCATGATGTTTACTGGGTGGATGCCTGGGAGGGAATTTACTGGGAACAGCCATTGACGTCACTCTGACTGGGCGTCTTTAAGTCACCGCGACAAAGGCAGGTTGGGGGGGGTGCATGGTTTTTGCAGTGGTGACAAAGCAAATAAAGGTGGCTGCAGATAACTCTGTGGTTCCTATTTCCATGTTGTTGGTTGTAGTGGTCGGGATGTTGAAGTATGCCCAGGATTTAGTCAACTTTATCATATGCCCGTCTCAGAACCACTCGTTAAAGTATTGGTAGATTATGTCAGTGTTCACCAAATTAAAATGCTTTTTTAATAATTTACAAAATTTAGACATAATGGTGTTTGCTTAGAAACACATCCATCAAATGCGCAAGCGTTGTTGGCTGGTATCTAAGTTGATAATTATTTGGTTCGTTACATATGTCGTTCCTGATATTGAACAACGACTGGATCGGCCACTGAACGGCACGTGGCATTCGTCTTCCCTATCTTGCAAAGTGAGGTTATTTCCTTTAATTCCTAAATTACCGTGGTACATCTGGGACTTTGGTGGAATACCTGGAACGTTTCCAGCACATCTGGGACTTTGCTGTGGCACAATGGTTGTTGCGAAGGACTGATCTATAGAACAACGATGACTGTTATCCGCGATGAAGTTCATGAGGTTAGTCGTGATGGTGGTGGTGGTAATGGTAGGGGTCTGGGAGGAGGAACTACCAGTTAGTTGTCCACGCCTGGGCTGGCACCTAGCCCAGTACCTGCAAGGTGTCGTTGGAGTTGGCGGTGACGAAGCTGCCGGTGTTGCAGATGCCATAGCTCGTGTAGCTCGTCGTCTTCGGGGGGATGAAGTGGTATATGTTTGGTAAAATGCCAGTCTCCAGTATCCCGGTGTCGTACTTGCGCAGGTTAGGTGTGTAGTACAAGCGAAGTCCTGAGCTGTCCCTCACACCTGTGTGTGTGTGTGTGCAACACCAGTGACGATTATCTGAACCGGTCCTGGGTCTCCCCCACGTCGACTCAACCTCAAATGAGTACCTGGTGCAGTGTGTAAACATTGCCGCTTAAGAGACAAAGGCGGTCGGGTGTGGTGCTGGCCACACACCCCCTCGTGTACCTTGCCGGCCTTTATTGGTGCTCACTAACAGCCCTTGCCCCAAAAGTCTGTTAAGGCTCTTTGGGGGATATTTGTCTTTGTGTGTGGTTGATGTGATGCATGTATCCATGTGTGCAAGTATGTATTTGGACAAGTATGCATTTGTATATATATTTGTGCATCTCAAGATTCTATACATAAAAGATATGCAAAGGGACAATGTGGGGATGAGGGATTTAATTTATAATGCGAATAAGTAACTAAACAGAGGAACGTTTTGGAGGTTTTGGGGTATACATGTTGGAAATATTGTAAAGTTTATCATTACGTGCGTGTTCACCGAAGCAGCATTTTGATGACGTTATCATCCACACAGGCGTGCACGAAAAGATAAGTACATCTCGTGAAGAGACGAGTGTTACGGCTGCCTCATGTCTTCCTGGGGTCACCGCTGTACTTTTTTCCCCATAAGGTGCCATGCTCAAATGCCGGAATGTTCCGATTTGGCTGGGGAGGACAGTAGACGTGAGTCACTCACCAGACACCATTTGTGGATTGTTGTAGTGTATCTCCAGCATCACGACCTTCGGGTCTGCGTCCAAGCCCAGCGAGTATCCGGCATCAGCGGGGTAGTCGAACGTCTGGAGAATATCGTTACAGTCATCCACACAATCAGCAGCGGCAGTCGCAGCACCAACGTCAGCAGCAGCAATATCAGCGTAATAATGATGAACATCGGTGTAAACAATTGAACCCACGCCCTTGTCCTGCTACCACTTGTAATTGGTTACATTAAGTAGTAAGTCTTCAGGGCTACAAATAGATAAGATTATAAAAAAAATTCTTGCAACGATTATGATTCTGATGATATTGGCGATTTATGGACTGATTTATTAGGGATGCAAAACTTCATTAGTGTATCGATTACCATTGATTTTAAGGATACGTGTGTTGAATTGAGCGTGTAAGAATCCACATTTTTGTTCTATTTATGAAAATAATATGCTGTTCAATTAATTCTAAGGAAGCTGCACAAATGAGAAAAAAAATAAATACCACAAATAAAATGGTAAAACATTAAAACAATAGATATATATATTCTTTGATCAAATTGTAGCCCTGAATTGTTTCTGTCAGTATATGCGCATTTTTATGAATAAAAATACTATATAAATAAATGTATATACTGAATCTCCACGCAAAAGTGAAATGTTTTGGAATCAATCGGCGTGTAGTCTTTCCTATATGTCAACGTCTGATTTCCACTTTTTGCTCGCCCACCCTGTTCTCTTTGCAAATGGCAACTCATTGAATAATCTCAAAAGACAAGACCAAATCTAGGTTCACCATCAGGTATCCCCCATCCGCCGTCCCCCCTCCCCAGGTCTCATTGGTATTTGGCTTTCAGTGGCTTGAGTACCGCTGGTTGATATGCGCAGGGTTGTCATTGCTATGTCCCCTGTATTTCCTTACATTTCATCTTCCTCTTTCGACACTATCTGTGTTTCTCTTGTGTTATTTCAGCACTTTGAGATGTTGTGGCATTTAATTGCTCGAGACGCACGTCTAAATCCTAGCCATAGCAAGTAAATAAGGATAAAGGTAATAATTATTTCTGTCTCATGAGTTAAAAGAGTTAAAGGGTGATAGTCATCGTGATAATGAGGATGATCATCACGCATTGGTGTACACATGTGCTCACCTCTCCGCCCACAGCCCATGCAGCCAGCACACTTAAGCACCTGGCGCTGGGGTGATTGGGTTCACCCATCGACGAGTAGCATTGAAAGGTTGTATTCATGTAGGACATATTCACGTTGGTCTCGCACACGTACACGATCATGTGGTGCACGAAATGCGTGTTCCCGGCCTGCACCAGCGGCTGCACCTGTGAACGAGAACACACACAGACTCGAGAAGCCATCCCTGCATGGGTTGTTGTTTTTGTTGGCAGTTTGCGTCTGAGCTTGTTTGCTGGAGAGTTGTTAGCATCGGTGGCGCAGTGATTACAACTCGTGCCACGCAGCAAGAAGGGCTTGGGTTCGATTCTCGACTCGTTTACTAATGGACTCTGTCACACGTGCACGGCAGTACACGGCAGTGTTTTATCAGGACAACCGCTCTGTCTGCAGTGTTGAGAGCAACCTCACGGTTCGCATTGCCTGTGTAGACTCACTTGTAATGAATCGAATGTATAATTGTCCACTCTGTAGCATATAGGAACCTGAAAACACATTTTGCAAAGCTACGGGTAACTAGGTGCGTTTTAGCATTCTTTAACAGAAGGAAATGGTGGACCGAGAAATTCAGCTACGGTGTTGTGACGTGGGTTGTGTGTCTGATCACTATTGCAGATGTAGTGATATGGAATCGGTCACTACGGCATGTAGCGCTGGCTACTGGCAAAAAGAAGCTCGGCTGCCATGGCAACCCTGTCCGCCAGAGGTGAGGGGGTAGGCGGGAGGAAGGGATGTGGGGAGAAGGGGAAGGACGGGGTACGGGAGAAGCCCCGGAACCTTCTAGGGGGTTCTAGAAGGGGGGCGTAGCCAAGGGAATGCGAGGCTGCGCTGGGGGGATATAAGGGGGACTCCGGGGAGGACTCGGGGTCATTGTTGGAGTGGACCCCTGGAACCCGTCAAGTCAAGTCCCGTCAAGTCTCGTCAAGTCAAGTCCCGTCAAGTAAAGTCTCGTCAAGTCTTCGTCATCGACACATCGTCTTACCCTAGTCTCAGCGTTGTGTGTCAGGCAGTCCGTTGTTGTCCTGACCTTACTATAGTATTCTCAGCGCCGGTGAAGGGTTTAAATAAACACAGTGCCTCCTAATAAAGTGTCTCTCCAGTCTGTCACTAAACAGATACTAAATTTACCCTTCTGAAGAGGACTTTTGAAATTAAGTTTTGCCGTTTCACAAACCCCTGGTGTTCAGCTGTTGTGGAGTCGCCCACCATCTCCGGAGTACAGAACACAACGCGGAGTCTCTTACTCATCCTCTCCGAAATGTTTTTGTTTCGTTGTTGTTGCTGCTGCTGCTGTCTATTTAGCAGACATGTCCCTCGACGGGAGGAGAGGGGGACAGGGTGGACCAGCTACATCTGCAAAGGTGCAGAGACCGACTGGAATGGAAGAGGCCTAACAGCGGGAAGTCCCTTTCCAACACCCCCCCCCCCCCCCCCAAGGCTATACGCAGGCAATGATCGCATACCTGTCAACCCATATGGTTTACCCATATTCTTGTACAGGGGAAATAGAGTTTTGAGGTCCATACGGCGTACAGCCATTTCAAAACGGGCACTTTTTTTTATCTATTCGTTTGTTTCCCCTTGTGATGGGACTTTGTAGGATGAAAGTTGAGATTAATAAGGTCTGAATTGGTCTGTAATGAGGTCGGCACTGATATAGGAGTTGACAGGTATGTGATTGGCCCGTCTCAAATACGAGTCAGACAATCAGATTGTGAAAGGGCACCAAAGCAGGCAGTGTTTGGTGGAATTGGAAGAAGGTGGTGGGTCGAGTTGGTCGGTGTTCTGCCTCACGGCAGGTGTCGGGGTGTGCGTACACAGGAATTTCCTGGTATGATGTTGAGTTTGGTCACGTGACCAGGAAGTGAAGATTTAAGATTCTCTAAGCCATGAGGCAGGGTATCAGCCATTATGCAGAGTACAAAATGGAGGCACAAATATTATCTCAGTGAAGACAGGTACATCTGTTCATTGTGGGACTTTAAGAAGCATTGTCTGTAAGTTCGTTTATATTCTTATAATACTGGAAATGCTGTTATAATGTTAATATTATTCTTATAATGCTGTAAATGGCGTTATAATGCTGTTAAATTGCTATGATAAATATGAGGCCTTGTTAACAACGAAGCCTGCCACTTGCATTATTGTGAATGTTACTTGTAATTGAACAAGTCGAGTCAGACTTGTACCCATGTAACTTTAATGCGATCTTGATAGCAAGGATGAAGAAGTATCTCATCCACAGTTCAGTGTTAGGGGTCGTCCATAAATGACGTCACGCGATTTTGGACGATTCTTGACCCCCCCCCCCCCCCCATCGTCACACGGCGTCACAAAAAGTCAGACCTCCCCTCAAATATGACGTCACAAAGCTCTTCTCCCCCCCCCCCCCCCCAAAAAAAAATATAAAACATGCTTCAAATCGCTTTAAACTATTGTCATTGTAGTGCGTATTTAATGTGCCGCTGCACTCTGATGTTGTAGGAGAAAACATTTATTAAAAGTCGATTTAATTAAGTAGAACGTGTTGTCTATATTTATTTAAGGTTGCGCATTTTGATATGACGTCACATTTCTCAACCCCCCCCCTCGTCACACATCGTTACAAAGGTCTGACCCCCCCAGGTGCGTGACGTCATTTATGGACGGCCCCTTATGTGCAGCGCCGTACATTTAGACTGCAGTATGGTGATTACACGAAGTGACTTTATTCAACACAGCAGCTTATTCTCTTGTATAGCTTTTCAGTGCTAATGAAGGTGCCTGGTCCATCCAGGACCTATTGTGGAGTTTCATGTATTCTAAGACAATGTTACGATGCTGTAGTGTTCATTGTATTGATATTCGAAGTATTAGCAGATGCTGTATTTTGTACTGTTTTTCCATTGGTTTTACCTCATTAACTACGTCTGAGTTGGATGTTCACCCTGGCTCTGAAAGTTTATTGAATGCGAGGTTGACTACTCGGATAGTTGTGCAACGCAGCCCACAACGAGACCGAGACAATAGGTTTACACGGGGCCAGCTGGATATCTTTGATCAGAATCTTTACGTAGACTGGAGCGGTCAACTCAGCCTGAAATTAGTACCTTGGTGCGGTGTGTAAACATGGCCACTCGGGAGTCAAAGAGGGCCGGAGGTGGTGCTGGCCACCCACCCCATTCATAGGTGCTCGCTAACAGCACTTGCCCCAACGGTCTCTTAAAGGCTATACAGGGGATCTTTGTCTTTGTGTGTGTAGGGAACCCTACCTTTACGATATGATGTTTCTTGATCAGGTTCGGTAATTGCATAACATTGCACGCGTAGTATGTTTGATCTGAAGGTATCAGGAACTGAAAGCACAAACACGTACTTTTAGACAACAACAAAAACTCAACACATTGTCAATTACACATTCGTTGTAACACAATTAAATGACTAAACAGTTAGCGCGTTGTATTCAGAAATTAAATTTCCATTGATCAAGCAGGGATGATGAGGGGCGACACGGTGGCGAAATGTTAACTACCTCGCCTGGTATAATAGAGGTCGTCGGTTCGATCATGACGCTAAAACCTGAATATTTGCAGTTTGCATTTTTCTCCGGGTCCTCCGGTTTCCCCCTTCACATTTATAAAACGTGTTTAGAGTATTCGGCTCCTACCAAATTTCCATGTGATAATCCACTTCGTTGAGCTATCATTTGTGATTCTGAAAAAGAGCTATTTAGCTCAGGGGGCATTACCTGCTAAAATAAGAAATATATTTAAGTAGTTTTATGATCGTGGGTTGAGATTACTCAGACCAACGATCGGCTGCGATGTGGCCAGCAGATGGCAGTACCGCCAGTGGATTTTGTGAATCTGCTTGCGTGGTTTTGTTCAATCATCCCCTCGTGCATGGATTTTCTCCAATTCGACAGAATGTCAACAACAAAAAACGGTCATTAAATACGAATCGCGAAAGGCCTTTCCAGGGAGGCAAATACGTTAATCCAAAGGTTCAATGTTATGGCAAAACACACCATTATAGCGAACTAGAAAGAGCATTCTTCCCCAACACTGCAGGAATGGGCCAATAAACCACCAAACATGGAAACCCCTTCACTACCTCTCCTCCAGTGGGCATTGATTATTAGGAGCATTCATTGGAACATGAAGGCACTCCTCCCCCTCTCCCCTTTGTTTCTTCACCGACAGGGGTATTATTACAGCTTATGAAGACACTAGGTGGGTTGTAGAGTTAATTTAAACAGTTTTATTAAAAACATGCGGTTTAGACAGGTTTCCATTGCACTGTAATCCGCAATGTGTGTTGTGGTGGTGGTGTAAACCCCATTTCACATCCGTTGTGTTGTGTTGTGTACCCGAATCGTTCTGTTAATGAAAAATATATATACTTTTGGGGAAGAGAAAAAAACACACGAATCACCCAAACAGCACCATGTGACCTTCTTGGGAAGGTATTGAGACTCGGGATATCTAAATGTCCCAAATCAAATGGGTATATCACAGCACTGTCACACGAATATTGTCATCTTCCTGCTGGGACGCCACTGTGGTGAGATAAATTCACTCGCACGGGTTTTTTTCTACACACTTTTATTGAACTTGCCTGTGTTGTCTGTTTATATTCTTTGGAATCTTTGACGCTTCATATATCTTCGGATCGACGAAGCCTAATGAGCTGACATTTTCTACACAGACTTTGCCTCCTCACGTAACAATTCAATATTTCATTTAAAAATACAATCCAGGTCCTGCCTATTATGGTCCTATTCGTATTAACTATATTTTACTCATTATTAGTTCTGTATTTGACAATTTAATAATCCTATATTTTACAAATTAATAATCCTAAATTTGACTAATTAATAATGCTACATTTGACTAATTATTGCTACATTTTACCAATTAATAATCCTACATTTGACTAACTAATAATCCTACACCCCCCCGACACCTTTTGAAATCACGAATGTTCTCGCCCACCCACGACTGCAAACGTCTGAATCTTCGCTTAAAGCTTTCGTGACTGCAGAAATTCATATTTTTTGCAAGCGAAAAGCAGACCGCGACGTGATATCCATTACATTAATGCGTGTGCAATTTGTAAGGGCGCAGTGACACAACATTTCATTTTAAGGTTATAATCCCTTGACGTCCTTTTTTTATTACACGCTTTCTATTAACTCACTCTGTTTGTTGTTGTCGCCATATCCTCAAATCTTGTAACTCAATTTTAACCCACTTCCCAATGTGGTATCGACTGCAAACTTGGTATACTTATGTCATACTGATGACAATACTATATTCTATCATTAAAAAATTAAAACCATATTTTTATATGTTATGTTTCGGCTTGGGTCTAATTGTATTGGTTTAGCCATGTTTGTTTGTTGTAGTACAGAGTTAGACTGATGGCCTTAATCCAAGTTGTCTTGTGGTTGTTGTTGTTTGACTTGCATCCCACTGGGATTTTTGCACACAGCGTTGGTGTACGGTGTTTTTTCTGCAATATTTTGCTGTCTTTTCTTGGATTTTCTGTTTGCACTTAGTCACATATTCACTTTAAGATGTTTTTTGTTCATGTTTTAGTTTTTTGTTTGTTGCGGTTGCACCCGATTCAAGAGCCGAATGGCTCACAGGGCTATCTAACCTATATAATTCATTTTTTGTCTGTCTGTCTGTCTGTCCGTCCGTCTGCGTACGCTCCCTTCCGGGGGATTTAGCTCTCGGACCGTGGGGTTCGCCGAGATTAAATATTGCAGGTGGGCACGCCCCCGGCCCGCGGTAAACTTAGGCATTTCCGATTTTTCGTCTCTAAACTTTAAATCGGACCGATTATCGATTTAGTGCGATTTCTCTTTATTTATTTATTTAATCCTTTATTTATTTATTTAATATTGCCGGCCGGCGCGGGACCACGGCGGTTGCCCCTGGCAACGGGTAGCAACGCCTTCGCTGCGGGGTGGACGCCATTTTTAATTCCCGTAAAAAATATGCGCACGCATTAACACGCGACTCTGAGGTAAATTCATCAAAGTTTCACGTCCTCTTCACTCCCCCCCCCACCCCAATGTGTGCAATTACTATTATAGGGTCGGTAGATAATAAAATTATAGCGATTAGACAGTATTATTGTAGCGCGGGGGGGGGGGGGCGTAACGGCCCCAGTACCCAGCCTCAGCCGGGTGGGCAATCTAGGCGAGGCCGGAGGCTCTGCACGGTACTAGGCCTCGACACACCACACGTGTCAAGCGACGACTTTGTGGTATAAACTCGATATACCCAGCGTTGCCCGGGGGAAAAATACATTTAAAATCTTCTGAAAACTTTAAAACATAACATACCAATGAAAATACAACTGTGTAATTAAAATTATAAACCCTGACCGCGCCAAGAATCGATTCTCTGAATCGCGAAAAGAAATCGAAGGTTGTAGATTCATTTAGAATCGCCTTATTTCCGTTTAATATAAGTTGGTTATAGAGTTGATATAAACTGCTACGAATGGGAAATATCCGGCGTTGACCGGGGCAAAAATATTATTAAAAACTCCTGAAAACTTTAAAACATAACATAACAATGAAAATAAAACTCTGTAATTAAAAATGGAAACCTCCTATGCGCCAGGAATCGATTCTTTGAATCGCGCAAAGGAATCATCGAAGGTTGTAGATTCCTTTAGGATCGCCCTTAACATTTCCGACACACACATTCACACATTTAGCTTTTACATTTAACATACAAAACGTCAGCATGTACTGCTGTCATCATAGGCAAAAAATGTATACACCCTCAACACTCTCCCTCACCACTCTCCCTCACTCATCATCACCACTCACCCTCTCCACTCACTATCACTGACCACTCACCACTCACCCTCACCACTTACCCTCACAACTCACCCTCACCACTATTCCTCACTACTTACCCTCACCACTCTCCCTCACCAATCACCAATCACCCTCAAGCATACTTGGCGACACGTAAGTAAGTTTTTAAAACGGGAATAGGGTGAGTGGTGGTGGTGAGGGTGAGTGTTGAGGGTGAGTGGTGAGGGTGAGTGGTGATTGGTGAGGGTAAGTGGTGATTGGTGAGGGTGAGTGGTGAGGGTAAGTGGGGAGGGTGAGTGGCGGTTGTTAGTAGTGATTAGTGAGGGGTGAGTGGTGAGCGGTGAGTGGTGAGGGTGAGTGTGAGTGGTGAGGGTGAGTGGTGATTGGTGAGGGTGTGATTGGTGAGGATGAGTGGTGAGGGTGAGTAGTGAGGGTGAGTGGTTGTTGTGAGGGTGAGTGGTTGTTGGGAGGGTGAGTGGTGAGGGTGAGTGGTAAGAGTGAGTGGTGAGGGTGAGTGACGGTTGTGAGAGGTGATTAGTGAGTGGTGAGGGTGAGTGGTGAGGGTTAGTGGTGAGCATGAGTGGTGAGGGTGAGTGTTGAGCGTGAGTGGTGAGGGTGAGTGGTGATTGTTGAGGGTGTGATTGGTGAGGATGAGTGGTGAGTAGTGAGGCTGAGTGGTGAGGGTGCGTGGTGAGTGGTGAGGGTGAGTGGCGGTTGTGAGTGGTGATTAGTGAGGGGTGAGTGGTGAGGGCGAGCGTGAGTGGTTAGGGTGAGTGGTGAGGGTGAGCGGTGAGGGTGAGCAGTGAGGGTGAGTGGTGATTGGTGAGGGTGTGATTGGTGAGGATGAGTGGTGAGTGGTCAGGGTGAGTGGTGAGGGTGAGTGGTGAGCGGTGAGGGTGAGTGTTGAGGGTGAGTGGTGAGGGTGAGTGGTGAGGGAGAGTGGTGAGGGAGAGTGGTGAGGGAGAGTGGTGAGTGGTGAGGGTGAGTGGTAAGTGGTGAGGGTGAGTGGTAAGTGGTGAGGGTGAGTGGTGATTGGTGAGGGTGAGTGGTGAGGGTGAGTGGTGAGGGAGAGTGGTGAGGGAGAGTGGTGAGGGAGAGTGGTGAGGGAGAGTGGTGAGGGTGAGTAGTGAGTGGTGAGGGTGAGTGGTAAGTGGTAAGTGGTGAGGGTGAGTGGTGATTGGTGAGGGTGAGTGGTGAGGGTGAGTGGGGAGGGTGAGTGGCGGTTGTTAGTGGTGATTAGTGAGGGGTGAGTGGTGAGGGTGAGCGTGAGTGGTGAGGTTGAGTGGTGAGCAGTGAGGGTGAGTGGTGATTGGTGAGGGTGTGATTGGTGAGGATGAGTGGTGAGGGTGAGTAGTGAGGGTGAGTGGTTGTTGTGAGGGTGAGTGGTTGTTGTGAGGGTGAGTGGTGAGGGTGAGTGGTAAGAGTGAGTGGTGAGGGTGAGTGACGGTTGTGAGAGGTGATTAGTGAGTGGTGAGGGTGAGTGGTGAGGGTTAGTGATGATTAGTGAGGGGTGAG